CCACACCTAGACAGGAGGACGATTAGGGTCCTCAACCAAAGCCTTTGGCTCAAAAGCCTAACCGCAAGGCAGCGGTGTTTGGCGGGGAAATGCAAATGCATTACCTTTTCTACGGAACAAGTCGCCATACATGTTCCAACTCCCAACCTGGAGGACCAGGAGACCAATCAGTGGACCAATCAGACAAGAGGCACCAGGTGTTCGAGTTCCGGGGCGAGATGGCCCAAGTGGTTAGAGCGCGAATTTACTGACCGGAAGGTCCGTTGTTCGAATCCGACCTCCGCCACTCGACTTCCTCTGTCTAGGCTTGGGAAACCTGGCCGTATCTCAGCCCTCATGCTTCCTTCGGGTGGCATGGCAGCTAGGCACCGGAAGGGTGCTACAGCTGAACGCTGTTCGAGTTCCTCTGGTAACCACAGGTTATCAGCGCTCTGCTACAGACCATATTTCTCTATTCTCCTCAAAAAAATAACAGTGACCCGCGGAAATCCCGGTGACTACCAGTTTACATAACCCACACGTTTATACACATCACTCTGTTTACTTTTCCGTAGGAACTGCACACAGAGAAAAAACTGGCAAAGTTCGAAGCACACTCATGAAGCAGGACACAGCAGGCGCGTAGATACAATATCTCCAAAATGTGTCCCAGATTCGGAATAGACCAAGAGTAATGACAGACAAGACACTAGATCTCAAAGCAAATGATTAAAGTCCAGGCCGGGACACGGTTTAGAAGAAATGGCTTTGTTGATCACGATTCGGCTGGTACCCCAGAGAAGCTATTTTGGAAGGCTATGAAGAATACAGCTCTGTGAAAGACTGTTTACGAGGAGCGAGGGAGAAACAACAGAACAATTTCAATGGATGTTACGACAACCACAGCAACGAAATCCAAGAGAGACCAACTAGATCCACTCAGATCACAAAAACAAAACGGTGGACCCCGTTCCACTCAGGGGGCACCAAAGTTGAGAATCAGGCGAGTGGTTTCGTTTTTCAAAGGTATTCAAACATACATCGCAGAGCAATTCAAAATCCCCTGGGAGCATAGTTAGAGAGGGTATTCGGATAGTCACATACAGAAAATACGGGCAAGCGTTATAAGGCACACATGGTCCCCCCGGATTCCCTGAAACTCCTCCAGCGGGATGACGATCAATCCAACTCTGACTGGCGACGGTAATCCAAATGCCGCGGAGCAGAGGCAAACAAAGACTGTAATCGGAAAGCTTCTGCCAGCACCAGGTTGATATCTTCGTCAGTCCAATGGTAGGTGGGTAGGTGTTGGAGTAACATCATCAGGCCCTGGAAATCTTTCTGACGTTGTAGTTCACCCGAGAAATGGAGCAAAAAGGCGGCGCAGACATAGACGTGGAATGCTGAAAACCCGGATGGCTCGGCCTTTTTAATTGGAAAAATTGACAGAAAAGGTGCGTAAGTACATAATATTTGTGATTCTAGAGATTCATATTAGATAAGCCACAAATGATAGGCAGCACCCACTTTCGACGTACGGCTTTGTCATTCTGAGTTCATCTAAAAGTATGGACGACCATCAACGGATGAATATAAGTCAGGCTCGCTAACTAGGTTATATGTAGCTGAAGAATGGACTCTGTGGTGTGACTTAAACCGGTGCTACGGTTTTCAACACATGAAAATTGCAGTGTACTTGGGTCAGATTTGAGATAGGCCGCATGAGGCTCATACTCAACAGCCTGATGGTTTGAAAAAAGGGTCTGTAACTCTGGAGGAAAACGGCGGAGTGCACTAGACATAAAACAGATTTCGCACAGATGAGACGGCTGCGTAAAAGCTATAAATCAAATATAGCTACCAAATTGGTCACGACAGTTGCTTTGCTTCTCAAGTCCTGCTTTAAACAGTTGATGGATAAACCCAAGGCGAAAAAAATTCAAATACCGCATGATAAGGAGCTGTATTGGTGAAGCCGTTGGTTGTTCTGTAAGGAGATATCTCCGTGCGACATGCTTCCAGCTGGCCTCCATCGCGGCTTTTCTGTTCACTGCCTTCTCATATTAGTGTTCATACTGGATTAAGTGGAAAATGGCGTATGTCGAGCGCGATGACGTGGTTGAAATTCGATTGACCATCCGTCTTTGGAAGTTGATTCAAACTTGATTCCCAGCCAGAAAGAGGCGAGAACATGAATTAGCCCTAACGGAATCGGACTCCGGTCGCTGGCACTAACCCCCTTTAGTGACTTGGTGATAGTGGGCTAAACGACGGTCCTGACTCACCGAAAAAAGCATCGTCATGAGAACCATCGTGTCCCCGAAATCAAAGTAGTATGCTAAGAAATGCCTTTAATAAACCCATCGCTCGCCTCGACATACAAACTTACTGTAAAGCCGAAAACGGACGGTCACCAAAATCACTCCGATCATGCCAACCAGGGTTAGAGGCAACTTGCATGTGCTTCATGGGATGTTCGCGCCATTCATGGCTACGCTGATTGTGCCACACCAGACTGATCAAGTCCTACTACACCAAAACCAGAGCACAAATTCAGACATATGGTAAGGAGTCTTTCGATCTTAATCTATATACTGGGATAGAGTGGGGGTGCTCCATTTGGCAAGGTGTTGGAATATTACCTCGTGCGATTCTTGGTGGTTTTTCACATTACTATCGGCCTGTTCGTCGAACATTTCGCCTGCGTCAACGGTTCGGGCGAACAAGTCATCATCGTCACCATCACCAGAGACCACATCAGTGCTGACAATAATGCTTCACTGTCATGTAACCACAAAGTTTATCTAAATATACTTATAGCCTTAGAGTGAAAAGAAAAGAGTGAGCGGCGGAGGAAGACGAGTGCGTGCCAACCACAAGCATTTTGAGTTGCTCAGACAAAGTGGAAGGAAAATGACAGCACGAGCGTCACTGACATCAAGCGGCCAATATTTCTGGCAGTATCTTCAGACAAGGACAGGGACAGATCACGGGGATCCAATGCAGGATAGCGGACCACACCAACAACATTCAAAGCCTTCGTAACCTGCCTGATTACCTTCCGCCAAACCATAAATTGTCCATCCCGTAGTTTGCGCCATTCTGAAGGAGGCACGGAGCACTGATCTCCGTAGACGGTGTTTCGGTATTCGTATGAGACGGCCGATCCACCGTAGTTGATGGCGCTGGATGCTTTCCACGACCTTGTTCCGGACGAAGCGATACAGTGTCCAGTATTTGGGTAGCTCATATCAAGCGGAAGCTGGCAATGAACGGCCTATCAGCTAGCAGATACAGCAGTCGTTCAGCTGTAACATCCGAGCGAAGCACGAGGGCTCAGAAGCTGCCGGTTTGCTCAGGCGTACTCCGAAGCATTCGAGGTGCTGGGATTCGAACCACAGTCCTCTCGGCCAGTAAGCACGTTTCTTAACCAAAAGGCTACCTCAAGCTATCTCGACACACCAGTAAGCTCTAATGGTTTAACCAATGAGCATCGCCCTGTTGAGGAAAAGAAAATATACTTACATCTCAAGTTCGGCTCAAGACAAAGCAGGATGTACCAAAACAAGCGGTAAACATCATCTTCGTCTGAACTCACCATGTAGGTATCCCATAGGCGAATGACACAACGAAGGGGAAGTTCACGAATTAAGAGATTGTTCATCCATCGGAAAGCAAACTGCAAATACTCTACATGGTGTTCGGCTAAGTGGCGATGTAACGTGGAGTCGACGCGTTCAATCAGACTGGCAAGCATGGATACGTTGTTCTGTATGCCAGGTTGGGCGAACGTGTAGTTGTCCTGAATTGTGTCCAAAAGGTGAGAAGTGCACCAAAACACATCAGCCTCCACCTCGTCCAACTTAACCGCGTTGATTTCGTACTGCAAGTTCAATTCACCGGACGTGTTTAAATCTGTCGAACACCAACAAAGAGTATCAGAAACGAAAAGCGATACGAATGGCTGAACGAAAGATGAGTTATATACATGCACCACAGGTGACCTAAGCATTACGTAAATGTCACCATCTGAGAGAAGATGCAAGAGATAATGTTTGGTACATTCGCAAGACAGTGACAAAAAGGAGTAGAAAAACTCGCTAGCACAGGCGCAACAGATGCTGAAAACTTGCCTGCATCGTGTTCCGTGTTTAGCGGGGCGAAATCTGAAACCGCATCGAACCATGTTATTCCCGAGCTTTGAGGTCAATGTGTAGGATTAGGGATGGAACCTGGATGGATAAGTAGTCAGAACGGCCGTTCTATTTAACCGCACGTCAGCTTAACAGGGTGAAAGCCCTTGTCGGAATTACAGGTAATTTGCTGGTAGTTTTCTGGAAAACTAACTGAGTGGTAGTCATTAGGAGAGCCAGGCAATGCCACATCAGAATCAGAATGCCATATTAGAATCTGTACCGTTACACGCACCCACCTTGTTCAACTGGAGTGCAACCATGAAGATGACGAATTGACGCCGGTCATAATCGCTTGAAAGCTGCAGTATAGCGGACAGCCTTGGGGCAGAATACGGCTGTCTACCATTGTTGCATTAGAATGGAATGAGGGTGTTAGGCGGAATTCCACACGGATTCCGCTTTACCGCTCGCAGTCAGGTGCTGCTACGGCCGAGAAGCTCAACCTACGCAAGATTGGCCGAAAATTCGGGGCGCTTGGTCGAAAGTCTGGACCCAACAGCCAATTATGACCCAGTGTTGGCCGAATGCCGGTTGCCAATGGCGCATCCAGAAAGCGTCAGAATTTCCGGAAAATTATTGCCGCTTAAGTTATATATATGAAACGCTGTACAAGTGTTCCTGACTTCGTTTCGGGCATCCATCCTGCATCCTTGGTGATTGCTTTGACGTGAACGCTAGCTCGGGAGGCTCAGACTGAGAACTAAGCTGAGGAAAATACCGTTACTAC